AAATGAGGCTCAAAAACTCAGAAGTTGCTAGCTTTCTGTTTTGTTGGGTTTTTATTTACTATATGGGTTTTACTTTATATCACAACAAATTTGAAGTACATTGGTAGCCACCTTCATTCTAAATTTTGTAGCATAAGCGTTAATCTATTCCTGCCTGTAAACTCAGCCTACATAGATGAGCAGAGCAAACCTCTATATGTAGGCACACTCATTGCAGTTTTCCTAAGTCACTTCCTAGTGGAGTAAACCAAAACAAATTTGCATTAAACCACAGGGAGTTTCCACTAAGCCTTTTGTCAGTGATTTAACTAAATCCATTTTCAAAGAACAGCTGAAGTCTAAAGGCTTGCTATGGTCAAGTTTAATACATGTTTCCACACACCTGCATTAGCTGAGTGCGAAGCACCGAAATTAAAGAGAGTCAGATCACTTCCCTTTTACAGAGAACGGATATCAGAAGGTGCTAAACATTTCTGACTGCTGTAAAAAACAATAAACAGTTTTATAAAAGCTTTTCCTCATTAAAACAAACCAACCAACCCAAGCCTCAAAACCTCCAATACAGAGCTATTTGCACCTCCCCTTACAGGATGCAAATGGTACTTGGCCACTGTTCCCTCCCTGCAGTGAACATGAATCCATCTCCTCCTCAAAAGGAGGAAAGTGAGAAAAGTGTGCAAGCTCAGTCCTCCTGCCTGGAAATCACAGCCCATCTCACTGCTGTCAAGAGAGAGGGAAGATCTGCCAGCACCAGTTGGATGCCCAAACTATAAATCCTAAGAAAGCTCTTTCCTACCTTCACTCAGCAATGCAATAGCTGCTTTCCAACTGGCTGCAAGAGGGTAAGACAACAGCAACAAAACACCTCAAATCGTTTAAGCTGCTAAGCCTCTACATAACTAAAACCAACAAGTAGGAAAGTGTTGGTTAACACATCTACACTAACACCTCCCTTGCAGAATTTCTGGGATAGACTTTTACCCATCAGTTTGGACAGGATTATTCCTCCCACCACCCACTGACACAACATCCACAGGAGTTAAAACAGCAATGCGACAGTATCCATGACCTTCTACAGAGAGGGACTTCATAGAGACAATAACCCCGGTGTGCATGAACATTCCTACTTTCATGGGTAAATACATTCATACACATTCCTTCAGGAAGGACAGAGATTTAATGTTTCTCTTTGCTAAAATCTCTCCTTTTGAAGTGTACTCACAAACATAATACTAAAAGCATCCACACAACAGTTACCCAACTGAGAAGCTCTAGCCAACTTGGCTTTTATTTAAGCAAATCTTGTATGACAGACTGTCGAGAGTGCTTGAATTTTATTTCAGGATAACACACTTTGCTCTTCATATGACATGTCCATTCTTCTGTTCTTTTAAGAAAAAATAGGCACTTGGCTCCTTTGTAGTTACTTTTTCAGATGAAAGATATAAGAGGAAGACTACACTGCTCATTTTTTCCCCAACCATTCAATTGCCAGTATTTCTGTCAGCATCTACGTTATCATTCTCAGCGATGAGAAGCCGAATGTGTAGAAATATCAGTGCTAGTATTTCCAAAAGTGACAATCTGAATTTTGTGTAGCTATGTGGAAACCTTCATGGTGAGATTCTCACCCACATCTCACACCACCTACAGCAATTACCACAGGCCTCAGATTACCTTAATGCAGAGCACTAAAAAGCTTGACTTAAATATTCAGGCAGTTGCATTAGCTCCTAGGTTCTTCTAGACACACTATATGGGCCAAACAGAAGCTTAGGCACCTAAAACTATTTGACAGTTTTGCAAGTTAAGGCTACCTAGCAAGTTACTCACCCATAACAATAAAACACCTTCTTTATTACCACTGCAGCATAAGCAGGGTCCTCTACCAAGCTTAAGCAACTCTGTAGAGCCTTCCCATCCTCCACTGAGCCTCTGTAACCCAGCTCACCTCCACCCAGCACTTCCACAGCTTGCTGGGAAAAAAGCAAGCACTCAGTCTGAGAAATAAGCCACAAAGAGACACCCCAGTGCCCTCATTCAGGCTGACAATAAACTCAGTTCATCATTAAGGGGGCAGGCTGCTTGTATAGTTTTACTTTTCCTCCCATCCCAAAGACATTGCATTAAAATCACCTTTAAGCTGAGATGGTCAAAGCTCCTGATATGTCTGATGAAATAAAAGCAGAAAAATCTTGATATAGAGACCCCAAACAGACATCACTTTAAGGACCTTCCCAAAGCCTTCCATAAAATTGAGAGCCATCTATTCACAAAAAAACTGAGACAAAACTGAGTCCTGTGGGTGAAACCATAAGCCATGCTAGCAAGTGAGACCCCTGGCTATCTGAATGCTGAAATCACATGTCCCAGTAGTACAGGTCTACCAGACATCCAGGCTCCTGGTGGTTTAAGGGCATTTCAGGCAACTGCAGTTAATAATACCCTGCTACCTCCAAGAAGCCAAATTAATATGGAACAGACAGATGGATGAAGATCCAACATCATTCATTTCTCCCTGCAAGAACTAAAAATTACCCGTCAAGTTATCCACCGTAAAAGTTCCTCAATTTAGCTCAAGTTAAACTGCTCAACTGTGCCTAAGTTGTGAGCAAAACTCACGGCATCTTTGGCTTTTAGCAACAATTTCTTCTCAGAGCAGAACTTCCTGGGTTCTGGGGTTGGAGATTTTTCTTCCAGCATAGGAAGTCTTTGTGGTTATGGTGGAAAATCCTCATCAATCAAGAAAACTCAGAATTAATATCCCTTTCCTATCACCACAATGCTCTGGGCGTTTCTGTAATCAGTGTATCTCAAGCTCTTCTGCAGAAAGGACTAGCACCCAGCACTGAGAGACAGCAACTCCTTACATGTAAACCCTGGTTTTGACAGCGCTGCCAGAAAACACATGAACACCCTGCAACAAGTATTTTGGGTAATTTAACCAAGGCGAATATTAAGCATCAGTAAACTACTGCAAATTGCTCTGAGAGATTAAATGGCTTTCCCTCCCATGCCCTCCATTATCTGGATAACAGCCAAAGCCTCTTGCAGAACGCTGAATGAAAAATATATTCCTCAGCTCACGCTCTGTTAAATATTAACTAAGATCATGTTGAAGCTGCAGATAGATTTAAAATAACTGTAACAATGCTATTTCAGATAATAGCCAGTATGGAAGTTAGTGCAGAAGACAGCAAAAGTTTCAAATACCAAAAACCTGAACAACCAGGTGTCTCCGATTCAGTTATTTAACTCCCCCTCCCCCCCAGCATCCTGATTCTTTTAGAGTACAACTTGAAACAATTTGTAACACTTATTTACATAGCATCTCATTTAAAAAGGTATCCTAAGCACTTTCAAAACATGAAAAAAAAAAGAAAATCCATAAAACCAGATGTCAAAACAAATATCCTAGATTAAATGGAAGAAACAACCCGCCCTCACAGTTAAAACCAGTACAGAAGCTTGAATAACAGCAACACTGGCTACATCCAAAGAGGATTTATGCAAATCACTCTTTCTCAGGCAGGCCGGATCCTTTTCAGCAGAATACACCTTAAAAGAGCAGAGACATCTAATCAAACAGATCCTGGAGGGGTGAAACCTTTCACACTCCAGAATGAACAAATCCCCTCTGGGAAATGCTGGTGCCTGTTTCATTTAATCAACGTTTTGCCATTTGTGCTTTCTGAAGAGCAGAGTCAAGGAGCAATCACTGGCCAGGCTCTGAGCCAGGTTTACAGCCAGGGTAATGAGACACAGCCCGATTAACTTGAAAAGAGTTGCATTTATTTACATTAAATGGTGATTTTGATCGGAGTGTTTTAATGGGATGATGCTGGATGACTTAGTGGGCAACATACCAGAAATCGTTCATTTATGTAGGTGGCATCAACATGTAGTAAATACAATTTTCATGAATTATACCCATTACCAAACCTAATAATTACACAGCCAGCTATCCTGTTTCCACATATGTGTTTAATGGTATGTTGTTCTTCTAAGAAATTCATTCATTTTCTGTCTAAACTGCTCCATCACAGACACAACACAGTTCTCCACCCTTCCGACACCTTCAGCTAGACTGCCTATGGGCTATATACATGTAAGCCTGTACCTAAGACGACAAGCCCAGGGGTGCTTCCGAAGTCATCCCAGCACGTTGCCACTGCACGTGTCCTGGCAATGACTCGATGGCAACCCTGGCAGCGTGCCTATGATGGACCTTGTCCCAGGGTGGCCACCGATACCCCCAAGCCCCAAGGGCAAACCGAAGACCGAGAGACAGCTCTCCACCAGAACGCATCTGTGCATGTGCCTGCTAGAAAAGGAGCCGCTTTCCCAGCCCCGTGACAGAACCGCGTGGCGCAAACCCCCCTCCAATTAAAGTAAGCTGCTATTTGCCCACCTCCCCCCCTTTTTTTTTTTGCTGTCTTTTTGTTTGTTTGTGCTTGTTTGTTGTCACTACCAAAGCTGCACGACCGAGGCTTTCCGAGAAGTTCAACCACGCTGCCGCGGCTCCTCCCGAGCTGATGCCGCCGCACCTCTACCTCGCAACGCGCATTTTGCCCACGAAAGGGTACTTCAAATACAAGACGCAACCTGCATTTAACCCCTGATGAAAGGAGCGTGCTCCGGGTCCCTTGGAGGGCCAGCCTGCCTGTTAGACACGGTAGGATGTTAGGAACCATCCCGTGCCTCTGCCTACAGGTCCCGCCTTACTCTGTTCGGGCATACCACAGACCATCTTCTGCTCCGGCAATAGAACATCAAACAGAAAGCAAAGCCAGTTAGCTGCCAAGAGCCGTAACCACCGCACCCGGGCAGGGAAGCCTCCCCCGGCACTAGAGCCGGGCTCTGCCCAGCCTGGCCCCGTCGATCCCGGAGCCAAGCCCGTTCCAGCAAGGACGTTCACCTCATACTCACCTCAAAACAAACACTACAGCACCACCCCCCGCACCCGCCAGCAGATCCCCTCGCCCCCCGGCCCACCTCACCTCCCACAGCAGCGAGAGCAGCAGCGCGACCCCGGGCTGGAAGCGGTTCATCTCTCCTCCTCCGGCGGCGGAGGGCTCGCCCCGGCCGGCTCAAGGCGCTGCCAGCGACGCCATCCCGGGCGGGCAGTGGGGAAGCTCCGGAGACAGCCGAGGGGCAGCGAACAGGACGGGCTGACACACAGCCCGGAGGAAGGGGCGGTGAGAAGCCCGCACAGGGGGCAGAGAGACGAGACGAGGCAAGGCGGGGCGGGGATGGAGGCGGGCTGACCCGCCGATCCCCTCAGCCGGAGCCGGGCGGGCAGCGCCGCGGCGAGGCGAGGCGAAGCGAAGCGAGGCGGAGGGCAGCGTGGTGCTGGGGCGGGCGGCACAAAGAGGCCGAGGGCGGGGAGAGGAGTCGGCCCGCCCCGGCACCGCCTGGCGCCTCGGAAAGGGAGGGTGGGAGCGGTCCAGCGGACCCCGGTCTGGCCTTGAGGGGCGAGTATCGGGCTCCTCTATGGCGGGAGGGCGAACCGGGCTCTGGCCTCGCAGACCGGCGGCCTGTGCCGAGAGGGGTCGTGCGGGGTCTCCGGGAGAGGGCAGCAGCCGGTCGGGGTGTCCCCGGTGTCGGCCCCGAGGTGGGGGAGCAGGCCCGTGTGGGCCTTGTGGAGCGCAGCGAGACCAGTTGGAGGTGCAGGAAGATGATCGTCCCCTTCTGGTCCACTCGTGAGACCCACCTGAGTGCGGTATCCAGCTCAGGATCCCCAGCACAAGGCCTGTTGGAGCAGGTCTAGGGGAGGCCATGGAAATGGTCAGGATGCTGGAACAGGTTTTCTTCTTGTGAAGACAGAGCTGGGGTTGTTCAGCATAGGCAAAAGAAGGCTCATAGCAGCTTCTGATACATAAAGGAGCTTGACAAGAGATCTGGAGATGGACTTTTTACAAGGGCATGTCATGACAGGATAAGGGGGAATGGCTTTAACCTGACAGAGGGGAGATTCAGGTACACATTAGGAAGAACTTCCCTGTGAGGGTGCTGAGGTGCTGGCACAGGGTGCCCAGAGAAGCTGTGGCTGCCCCATCCCTGGCAGTGTTCAAGGCCAGGTTGGACACGGGCTTGGAGCAACCTGGTCTAGTGGAAGGTGTCCCTGCCTGTGGCAGGAGGTTGGAACCGTATGAGCTTTAAGGTCCCTTCAACCCAAACCAGTCTGATTCTATATAGAGACATGAGCTGATCCATATTAGATGATGACACCCAGTGTACAGTGTGTCTTTTCCTATGTAGGAAAGCATGACTTTTCAACTTGAACTATAAATAGAGACTTGTGTGTGTAGTTGCATCATTCTGTCTTCACTGTTGTACAAAGTCATGGCCGTGCCATCTCCTTAGACATCTTCTAACAAATTCAGAGTTGTGCTTGTCTGAAAAATACACCTCTCAACTTCAAACTGGTTGGCATCAAATAGAGACAAAAAGAGGTATCAAAACCAGGAAGGACTTGTATGGGCTACCTGTGAGTGCACAATGTCACACAGTGTGCAAGAATGTGTTAAAGTTTAGTCACCTCTTACACATATGACCTAGGCATGGGAAGAAGTGTGATTAATGGATGGTAAAAACTGCCAGCTGGAAGCTACTCCTAAACTCCCCCAAAGTTCACTGTATAGAAATAACAACCACCTGCTGACATTTCGCTGGGCAACACGGCATCAGGAGACAGCAAGTTTCTTCCTTGAAGACTATAACAACAGGGAAGTGCTGAATGAAGGAGCTGTGTGTTGCAAGGATGTGCTAATCGGTTTTTAATAGATAGCCCACAAAAGGACAGAGGAAGGGTACACCTCCTTCAGAAGTGCTGCTTGGAAAGGTCTGCACTGGAAGGGAAACAGGAGAAGTTTCCTCCCTTATCTATTTCGGTATTCTCCTGAGGACTAAATAGCTAGCTCTCCTGTAAAGCAAGAGCAAGAGACCTCAGTAAACTCCAGTCTCTCCTAAACTTAAAAAAACAGACCACACAGAGGTGCCTTGCTGTTGTAAGACTGGGAAGGTCTTGGAAAGGGAGGCTAAAAGCACTAGGAAAGGTAGGGGTGAAGGAAACACCCGGGCTGTAACTATACCAGACACCTAGTCATGGGGTTCACTGCAGGAGTTGGTGAACACCTTCCCTCTGGCCTAGGATTAGTCCTCAGACCTTTATAAGATGACCTCTGGCTGTTACTAAGCACACTGAAGATATAAAGGACCAGGGCGGGAGCACACCCTGTCCTCTGAAGTGTCAAAAGTGCACCCTGCAGGCGGGGGGGTCAAAGCCCACCCGTGCAGTTCCTGTTCCCATCTACCAGGCTGATGCAGGCCCATCACAGAACCATAGCATGGTTTGGGTTGCAAGGGATCTTAAAGCTCACCCAGTTCCAACCCCCTGCCACGGACAGGGACACCTTCCACTAGACCAGGTTGCTCCAAGCCCCGTCCAACCTGGCCTTGAACACTGCCAGGGATGGGGCAGCCACAGCTTCTCTGGGCACCCTGTGCCAGCGCATCAGCACCCTCACGGGGAAGAAATTCTGCCTAATGTCTAATCTCAATCTCCCCTCTGTCAGGTTAAAGCCATTCCCCCTTGTCCTGTCACTACATGCACTTGTAAATAGTCCCTCTCCAAATTTCTTTCAGGCCCCCACAAATAAAGTCAGGCATCACTTCAAAAAGGCTCCAATTCATAGAAATATTAGAAGGACAGTTTTCAGAGCCCTGTCCTGGCACATGCCTTTATCACTAAACAACCTTCCCATTCCTAATTTCTGTGTTGTGTGACCCAGGAGATGGCATTTTGGAGACATAACCAAGACATGATGACTTCTCACAGAGAAGCCAAACAGTGTGACTCATGTAGGGAGACACCAAGTGAATGTCAGTGCTGAGCACAGGTGCTCTGTGCTGCTGATGTATTTCCTGACAGGGGTGGTCTGACAACCCAGAGATGGGCAGAAACCCTGATAGCACAAATTCTGGGATGACTGAGAGAGCACTAATGCATAAAGAAAAGATAGGAGAGGAATCTGGGGTCTTGCAACCTAAGACATCACTATCCATGGAGGCCATCAGTGCCTGCCCTTTCAGCTGATGTCCCACTATCCAATACACCTAAGCAAGAGCCAGCTGTCAGATACATTTCAGTTAATCATTAACACATACATCACTAGCAAGTTTAGCTTGAGAACTGAAAAAGCATTAGGGTTTTTTTTTCTCACAAAAAAGGCTTAAGCTGGGGCAAGAAAGGAAAAAAAATATATATATAAACACTGTTTTTATCCAATAACAGATTAACAAGAGTGAGATGGGAGCAGTGGGCTGGAAGAATAGGAAGCCACACAGCTTCCTAGCACATGGTTTATTATCCAGGCTAGATAAGGATATGGATACCCTATGCTATAAAATCCTTTCCAGGGCAAGAGATAAGATGAAAAAGGAAAACCAGCTCCTGACCCAGGAATAATGGTTTCATATTTCATTTCAGTCATATCTTGGCTCCCTTAAGTGATGTCTTCTTTCATTTCCGCCTAGCTTCAAGGAACCATTTTCATCCCCAGGGAAAGCCCATTAGCTTTAATGGAGTTCGAGTACAAATGAACTTAGCCCAGCATGTGGCATTTTCTCAGCAAAAGTGAGAGTGGCAGCAGAGCCCCTTCGAGCTTGTCTAGGCAATAAACACTTTCGCTCCACTGCACTGCAGCTCGGCAGCAAGGCAGGCAGGGTGCACGCCCTGTGCCGGCTTGACACAACACTGAAATGAGATAAGGCTTTTGTTGGAGGCAAGGTCCCTAGGTAAAAAAAAAACAGCCCCTTCCTTCCCAACCTGATTCCAGTGTTTCTTCTGATATGGCGTTCAAAGAGCTTGATATTCCAGAGCGCCCAGAACCTGCACATAGAAGCAAACATACGTATTTAAAAAGAAAATAAAAAATAGTTCTAGGAGCAGCATCATAGAATGTTTAGGGTTGTAAAGGACCTTAAGATCATCTGGTTCCAACCCCTGCCATCAGCCGGGATTCCTCTCACTAGACCATGTCACCTAAGGCGCTGTCCAAACTGGCCTTGAACACTGCCGGGACATTTGTGACTTCTTTGAGCAGCCTGCTCCAGTGCCTCACCACCCTCACGGTAAAGAACTTCTTCCTTACATCTAACCTGAACTTCCCCTGTTTAAGGTTGAACCCATTACCCCTTGTACTATTGCTACAGTCCCTAATGAAGAGTCCCTCACCAGCATCCTTGTAGGCCCCCTTCAGATATTGGAAGGCTGCTATGAAGTCTCCACGCAGCCTTCTCCTCTCCAGGCTGAACAGCCCCAACTTGCTCAGCCTGTCTTCATACAGGAGGTGCTCAAGTCCCTTGACCGTCCTCATGGCCTCCTCTGGACTTGCTCCAACAGCTCCATGTCCTTCTTCTGTTGAGGACACCAGAACTGCACACACCGCTCACAAGAGCAGAGTAGAGGGGCATGATCATCTCCTTCGACCTGCTGGTCATGCTTCTTTTGATGCAGCCCAGCCCATGGTTGGTTTCTGGGCTGTGAGCACACACTGCCGGCTCATGTTCAGTTTTTTATTGAATTACTTAGCATTAATAAAGCTCTATTTTATCTGATCAAGGCTTGCACTGCAGCTAGAACATTCACAATATCCCTTTTCTGTGGATTCTTGGGTGTTCCTTGATAATATATCCATCGTTCTCTTAGCAGAGGTGCCAATATTAACATATTTCTTTGACTCAGCCATCTCTTTTTCCTGAAACATAAAAGCATACACTATTTGTGAGACTGCCACTCTTCTATTGATTTCAAATTGAGTAACAGGTATAAAAATTCCTAGGGGGTACTCTTATTTATGTTGAACTTAGACTGGTAAATATTTTTAAAGACTATAGTGCATATAAAACTGCTCTTTATTGAGCATTTTCTTGTTTATATTGAAACAGTTGTTTCTAATACTATTGAGAAATACTCAGTTCCACTCAGCGTGTGTGAAGCAGGTTAACAACTTTATTATGAGCAAACAAAATACAGTTGCAAATTCTCATTTGCAACTCTGCATGAACTGTAAATCTACAATTTTGTATTTATTCAAATATGCCACTGTCTCCTTCATGGGTCCTATTAAAAATCAGTCAAATTCTTGTTTGTTTAAATATGAACTCTGCATTCAAGTGTAGGATCTACCTCAAATATATCTTGAGACTTTTTTTTATGACTGTGTAAATGGCAATAGCCTTTGTCAGTAAGTAAAAGAAAACCCTTTTAAATTACATTAAGTTCAGTAAATGTCTCAGCCTTTCAAAATCACCACTGGTATCTGCTGAGAAACTACATTAGCATTATTCATTTAAAAACAGGTAGGAAAAAATATTCATGAATGCAGCAATAACCAGCCAAGACAAACATTATGTCATATTTCTGCAGCTTCCGTGGCTTGTTCAAAGCACTTTCTTTGTGTGTGCTGTGTTTTCTTAAAGATCCTATGCCTCTTTTAAGACATAGGGGATGTTTACTGAAAAAAACATGACCATTTTTCCTAACTGTCTAGCAGTTTACACAAAGGTGTAGTCTCTTGGCAGAATAATAGTTAAATTATAAACCAACTTCCCAGAATAAAGGCTAATTTTTTTCATTACTTGCACCAATAACTACTCATCATGACTGACTTTAAATGAAATTTTAAAGGAAATATTGACTCAGGACTTGCTTAACTTATAACAGGCAGTAGCATATTACCCCCAGTGCCTCCATCTTCAATAATTATATCTTCAGTAAAAGTCTGTGGAGGTTTAGAGAGATAATCCAGACACAGTAATCCTCCTTCCAGTGGTAATATAAGTATTTATACCTCCTCCAACTTCATTCTTGTATGGAAAGATATTATTGAGCTGCACCAGTAAAAAAAAAATAAAATGTACCTGATTTGTATTTTATTAT